TCTATAAAGCTCTCACTTCTGCAATCAATACTTTCTTAGGTAGTGCTTTTTCTTCACCCTATCTTTGATCCTTCTCACAAATAAAATGAAGAAACATTAATTCCCTGTATTTACTGAGCACCACTGTGTGGCAGGCGCTATTATTGATATATTCCTATGTTATCTTTAATCCTTAAAAATCCTATAAGATGGACATTACTCAAGTTTGCCCAATAGGGAAAATAAGATCCACAGAGATTCAATAACTTAGCTTTAAACACAACTAGTAGGGGCACAAACTAAACTAAGGACTGAGTAACTACAAAGCTCCTCTTCCCTCCCCCCCACCCCAGGAGTATTACAAAAGGTCAATATTGCAGATATTGTGACAAAAATTATTGAAAAAATATATTAAGCTATTATAGGAACATGCCCTACTTTATATATTCTGGAATGCAGCCAGATTAGTGATTCCAGCTGATATCATATGGATTAGAAAAACTAGGCAACTGAGTCCAACAAAACCAGAGAATCACTGTACTTGTGAAGACTAATTCCAGTAGGCCTAGAATTAGTATAAGTTGTTTTACTAAAGTATCTACAAGGCATTGATCCCTGGTCAAGGTATGAAACAACTGACTAATAACCTTGCTTTGCAATTATCGCTCCCATGAGTTTCAGAATGGATTGTATTAGCTTATTAGCATTGTGCATTGATAACAAGGACATGGATGATCTGCACCTGGTCTCGGTGAGACTCCTGCAGGGCTTTACTGTTAGTACTGGTTATGTAGCAAAATATCCTATGTGGCCAGCAAAGTACAAGAAACTGTGGAAAGACTCCATTTGTGCTCCCTGATACTGAGCTGTTCATGCATTTGTCTACATTTCCTGATCAAGATATAATGTATAACGTATGCCCTGGTGTGGCCTTAGAGAAGGAAGACAATTAGAGCTCACTTCTGATCTCTGTGGAACCCATGTAGCCTTTAACTACAAAGAATATTCTTTCTTTAAAGTTGTTGCTATTTTTGTTATTGTTGTTTTTCTGCAATAAACTTACTTTTAGTAATTGTCCTTTTTGGTCTGTACTCGAGGAACTATAGAACACTCATGAAAGAAATTGAAGAAGACACAAAAAGATGAAAGACCATTCCATGCTCATGGATCAGAAGAATAAACATAGTTAAAATGTCTATACTGCCTAGAGCAATCTATACTTTCAATGCCATTCCGATCAAAATTCCACCAGCATTTTTCAAAAAGCTGGAGCAAACAATCCTAAAATTTGTATGGAATCAGAAGAGACCCCGAATTGCTAAGGAAATGTTGAAAAAGAAAAACAGAAGGGGGCATCATGTTGCCTGACTTCAAGCTTTACTACAAAGCTGTGATCACCAAGACAGCATGGTACTGGCAAAAAAACAGACACGTAGACCAGTGGAGCAGAGTAGAGAGTCCAGATATGGACCCTCAACTCTCTGGTCAAATAATCTATGACAAAGCAGGAAAAAATATACAGTGGAAAAATGAGTCTCTTTAATAAATGGTGCTGGGAAAATTGGACAACCATGGGTAGAACAATGAAACTCAACCATTCTCTTACACCATACACAAAGATAAACTCAAAATGGATAAAAGACCTCAATGTGAGACAGGAATCTATGAAAATCCTAGAGGAGAACATAGGCAGTAATCTCTTCGACATCAGCCACAGCAACTTCTTTCAAGATCTGTCTCCAAAGGCAAAGGAAACAAAAGTGAAAATGAACTTTGGGGACTTCATCAAGATCAAAAGTTTCTGCACAGCAAAGGAAACAGTCAACAAAACAAAGAGGCAACCCATGGAATGGGAGAAGATATTCACAAATGACCCTACAGACAAAGGGCTGATATCCAGGATCTATAAAGAACCCCTCAAACTCAACACACACAAAAGCAGATAATCATGTCAAAAAATGGGCAGAAGACATGAACAGACACTTCTCCAATGAAGACGTACAAATGGCTAACAGATTCATGAAAAAATGTTCATCATCACTAGCCATCAGGGAGATTCAAATCAAAACCACACTGAGATACCGCCTCACACCAGTTAGAATGGCCAAAATTAACAAGATAGTAAACAACGTTTGTTGGAGAGGATGTAGAGAAAGGGGAACCCTCTTATCCTGTTGGTGGGAATGCAAGTTGGTGCAGCCACTTTGGAAAACTGTGGAGATTCCTCAAGAAATTAAAAATAGAGCTTCCTTATGACCCTGCAATTGCACTACTGGGTATTTACCCCAAAGATACAGATGTAGTGAAAAGAAGGGCCATCTGTACCCCAATGTTCAAGGCAATGTTCAAATAGGTGATACTATAGTATATAACTATATCTCAATAAGGCTGTTTTTTAAAATGGTAGAGAGAAGCAACGGCCATAGTCACCAAACTGTGGAAAGAACCAAGATGCCCTTCAATGGATGAATGGATAAGGAAGATGTGATCTATATATACTATGGAGTATTATGCCTCCGTCAGAAAGGATGAATACCCAACTTTTGTATCAACATGGATGGGACTGGAGATTATGCTAGTGAAATAAGTCAAGCAGAGAGAGTCAATTATCATATGGTTTCACTTATTTGTGGAGCATAAGGAATAACACGGAGGACATGGGGAGATGGAGAGGAGAAGGAGAAGGGAGTTGGGGGAAATTGGAGGGGGAGATGAACCATGAGAGACTATGGACTCTGAAAAACAATCTAAAGGTTTTCAAGGGGCAGGGGGTGGGAGGTTGTATGAGCCTGGTGGTGAGTATTATGGAGGGCATGTATTGCATGGAGCACTGGGTGTGGTACATAAACAATGAATTCTGGAACACTGAAAAGAAATTTTAAAAATAAAAATTTAAAAAAAAAAAAAAAGAATTGTCCTTTTGGGCCCTGAGTCTTCTTTGTCAATCCAGCCCTATGTGCCACTTTTAGTGCAATCATGAAAAATAACAAATTGGTTTTTTTGTTGTTATATTGTTGTTGTTTTAAGACATTACATTTTAGGGTGATTTGGTTATGCAACAAAAGATGACAGTAACAACAACTGAGATTTACTAAGCACCTACTATTTGTCAGGTATTACTACTTCGATTCAAGACAAAAAAAAAAAAAAAAAAAACTGTGCCACAAATTACTTCCAAAAGCAACAGAGTTTAAAAGCATATGAGACAGATATTACTGGTTGCTACCACATCCCAATTTCCACTCTCCCTTTTCACCACCACCTTCTGCCAGAGAAGGGTGGCCATGTGACAATACCCTGGCTAATGAATATAAGCATTTGTCTGAGAGAGAAAATAGAAGCTAGAGCAGGACTGACAGAAAGACAAGTTCAATTCTGAAATATTAGTTTTGTAGTTGTTATAAAATGTCAAGGTAGAGATGTCATATGGACTGTAATTCATAGAAGACTGGAGTTCAGAGAGTTCAGGGTATAAATACATAGTGGAAGCAATCTGTATATTTGAAAATGATCAGTACAAATAGGTGGTACCTAAAGCCATGAAACGAAATGTGGTTTCTGGGGAAATTATATAAAGAAAAATTATATAAAGAAAGGTCTTAGAATATTATGCAAGATTTATGTGATTCTTTTATATATTTTATTATTTTAATTTGATCATATTCTAATATCATTCATCTTTTTAATGGCCCATATGAATTAATGAATCATTCTAGTCCTAGACTTTATTCTAACAATTTTTCAATCATATACCATATTCTTCAGCTAATATCTAGACTAAATATTTTGGCAAGACTGGTGGTTATTCTATTTTCTAGAGCTGAATTAACATATCTATTCTAATTCCTTAAAAAAATGATACTCAGCATCCTTTTTATAATATAATATAATATATTAGGAGAAACAAATTTATATAATATAAACATAATGAGAAGAATTTATAAGCAACTTAAAGGGAAAGTTTGCAACTTAAAATATTTTCAGCATGCTTCTAGCAACATAATTTTTGCTATTTGTTTATACTTAGCACTGTGTTCTTAATAAAAGGAAAGTGTCTTTTCGTTTAAAATTAAAAATAAGTATGCTCTGGATTTAGTTAACTTTTTAAGTGACTCATCATAATGACTGATCAGCCAAAGAAATATATATCTTTTACTTGAGAGTGTAGAAAAGAACATGTGTCTCTTATGTTCATTTTCATAATTCTAAGATAAATTTTGGTTCATTTAGAAAGTGTAATTCATTCTTTCTGATCTCAGGAAACAAACACCCTGTGTAAAGAACTAATTTTAAAGAACTAATTAAATTTAAATAGAACCCAATCAAATTAACATGGCATGGAAAACTCCAAGTGAACAAAACAGAATTGAAAGGTAACTCCATGTTAATAAGAGAACTACAAGTGTCACTGGGTCTCAGACACAACAATTCCGTTATATACCACCAAAATTAGAAAATTAAGTGACAGGATATGCTTTGTAGGATAAATCATAAACTAGTTAGCTTACCATATGTTCAGTAACAGAAATGGAAAATAAAAGTAGTTTTCCCATGTAAATCTAAACAAGTATATTAGGAGAGACAGAATTCAAGCCACTAGGTTTGACTGTATATTGTTGCTTTGGAGTAGAGGGTTATTTTATGCAGTCCCAACCATTCCAACATGCAATGAAGTAAGGCTGATGAAAAGCTACTTAAATTCCTTAATATATCTGCTGAAATAACAGTTCATATTAACACTGGTGTTAGCAATGCAGTTCAGTCAAAATACAGTAAATCTGAAATTACCCTGCCAAGTACTGAACTAGAGTAAATAGGACTAAGTGTGACTATCCTGAAAAATCTTACCACAATGATCAAGAATTATGTAAGAGTTTTGTGCTCAAATATTTTTCACCAAGAGAAAATATATACAAGTAGTTTATATAGTTTCCCCATAATTACTGTATCTTTTTTTTTTTTTTTTTTTTTTTTTTTTTTTTCATTTTAAAGAGTTTTATTACACGATGTTAATAAGCACCTTATACTTCTAATCAGATTTTTGGTAACTGGTTTTAAAGTGTTACTTGAGTATTTTTCTCATACTGGCTTTCAGTCAAAAGTACTACTTAGTGATTGTTTAAGAGATGTTAATTTGATTAAACAGTTTATCCTTAATAACCTGAGACATCAATCCATGGATAGCTTCTATGGTAGTTTTGCAGCTGTCTCTTGTAGCTTTGGCAAGTTTGTCTTCTGACTTTCTGTCATGTGTTTCTAAACCCAACATGAAACTCCCTCGTCCCAGCTGGGCTTCTGACTGTTCTAATTTTTCAGACAAATCAAAGACCTGACCAGTGGTATAGTCTGCATTAGTAAGCAAACTAGAGGAACTCAGCGTATTCACCCAATATTTATTCCACAAAAGCTCAAGCAATTTGCGATCCAATGAGGATTTGAAATATGAGACTTCTAAGGCATAATATTGTTTGCAATGTACACCAAAGTCTTCTATTTTATTAAGTGGGATAGTCTGGTACTCAGAAGGTCCTTCATCAGGGGGTTTGTAGCCCTTTGGGTATGTCCTAAAGGCTCCAAGATTCACTTTCCCTGCAGATATTGTTCTTGTTGGGTCAATTACTACTGCTACAAATGGTTCCTGGAACTGCTGATTGAGCATCTGAGTACTAACATCAATCCCAGAAAGCCAGCAGCCATAGCCAGGATGGCTGTGATACCAGCCAATTGCATTTTCAAGGCGGCCAACCTGTTTGGCGTTTTCTATATATGCAGCCATGTACTCATATGCAGCAGCCTGAGCATTTACTCGGGTTTCAGTGCCCTCTACAGGCAAAGCAAAACTGTCCATAATGATCATGGTTTCACCGTCCACCTTTCCCAGCATTAAGCCCATCACTTCTAAGTTGCCTCCCGATCTGGCATGCATCACCATTTTCAGTAGAGCCAATGCTGAGATTTTGCAGTACTTAAAGTAATGGTGGTCCTTAGTCCAGGGCTTCGCCGCCAGTATTTCTTGCTGTTGTTTCTTGTCGTATTTGTAGATTTCATCGATACTCTGGGCTTCCTGCATGTTGTTGGCCAATTCCCAGGTTTTCTGAGCCATACCACTCCCGGACGCCGCCATCGCCGAGGAATCGGAGAAGTTGTCGTCTCCACAACCGAGACGCAACTTTACCTCGCTACTAGGTTCCCGGGTGTGGGCTTCGGACCCTTCCCACCACAGGTACAAACTCGTACTCTAATTACTGTATCTTATATGGTGGATTATCTAGTAGCAGCCAAGATTTATAATGTCTGTTTTGGTAAATTAGTGCCAAGTAAATGTTCAGAGTTCATTAACATTTATTACTGTGCAATGCAACATGAACTTCTGAATAGTTACTTAATATGAGTGTATTCTTCCTGTTCTTTGCAAACCCAAATTCCCTTTTTAAAGGAAAAAGAAATAACACTTAATAATACAAAGACAACTGAACACATCCAGATAAAATGATGTTAAAAGTTATAAATCTTAAATGAAGCTAAAGAACCCACATAAGATTAACTGATATTACATTGACATGGATGAAGAATTCAAATGTCTACTGGAGCTGAAGTTTCATGGAAAATGGTACACTGGAAATCATTCACCCTCACTCCCGGGGGTAGAATTTAATTAGTTCCAGTTGATTGTTGTTAGAATGGGGTGTTGGTTTTTCGTTTTTGGTTGCTGGGGATCTCTTTTTTGTTTTTTGTTTGTTTGTCTGTTTGTTGATTTGATTTGAGAAAGGCTGAAAATCTGGATTTGTATACGAAATGTTACAAGTTACAAATGCTGGCAATTAATTCCATTTTTTATAACTACAAATTGGCCATAATCCACTTGTGGATTAAATTCAACCTACTGACTGCTAGATTCCACACTCTGCTTAATCTATCTTACTCTGAATATATTAAGAACATATCTCTTTATATGAATTCCCGCATATAACTTGAAATCTCACAAAATCAAAGGTCTGATAAATGAGCTGGAGTTTTCCATGCCTTGTTGGCAGTATCAGGATAAAATAATAATATTCATAATTACAAGTGATTAGCAGACACTCGATCTTTACACACACTGATGGTTCTGAAACTAAGATTGCCTACATCTGAAGTATTATCTCTGAAATGCTGTATAGGAAAGGGCTCAATTACTCATACTTATTTTCACTGGATTACTTTCATGTGATCAGACCACTGAATCACATCAAAGGCACGGCCTAACACCATGAAGAGACTGTTTTGTCTTCACAATTCTCATTGTTATGAGAGAGATGATCTAACTTCCTGTTACATTCCCAAGTTAGTGAATACAATAAACTAGGAGTTTCCATTCTTCTACTCTTCCAGTTCTCTAAGAAGTGTACGGATAGATGTTGGTGGCAACCAAAAAATGAAGTGTGAAAGCTCAGGTGGACAGAATTATAGACCCCATGACAGAGAAGTTTGATCAAGTAGATCAAGTCATCAAGTAATGAAATTACCAGGATAAGAACTTTCTCTGACTCTGTGTGGTGGAATGTCAATATAGATTTCATAGGGATATAAAGGTCAAGATGATGATGGGGAAATTCTAATTCCCTAAATTGAGGATACTTGTGATTATCTCAGAGCACTGAAACAAGGCATTTAATACCCAAGGTGAAGAAGATTCTTTGCCTGCTCATAAAGCTTAATACCGCTTAATGGGTAATCAGTGCACATGAAGATCATCAATTTTGGGTAATTTTTTAAAAATATGTTTCTTAGTCTTCTTGATAACAAAAAACCTAACCATAATATTTTTAAATAAATAAAATGTTTTATTTCAATGAGAAGGATAATATTGTTTGCAGTCTTCTACCAAGGCAACATTATAGAACTCAATGGTGGATAGCTTAATTTATCATATAGGTTACACTTGCAGTTGATTTCTCATGCTAGCTTCTACTAAATTAGAAATTTTAAATTCACAATCATAGATCATTGTAAATGTCACCAAGTGTTTAGTGGCTGCCAGAAAGTCTGGATATTCATATCAAACACAAATGGCCCAGAAATTATGGAGAGACAGCTCACTGCAGACTACTTTTACCACTCTAATAGATGATAAATTCTAACATTTTACAGCCAAAAGCTGGAAGGTTGGATGTTTCAACTTGGAAGACAACAGTAAATGTATTTCTAATCCACTCTTGTTTTCAGTTCTGGAAATTATTTCTTCATGCTCTGTTGCAGCATTTGGATGTGCATTATATATTAGTTAAATAATATATCATCAGATTCTTTTTCCAAAAACTAAAAAAGACATTGAGCTGGGAAAATGTCCAAATGTCAAACTCAAGCTATTTGTATTGCAGTTTCGTTGGCTTTAAAAATCGGGAGAAAATATCCTCAATGTTTAAAAGCATAGTATTTTGGTTTGGAAGTGAAGGGTTCAGATCACTCAAGGTACTAAGATATGTTCCTTGAAAAGACCACATGAAACTATAATGGTCTTTACTGGCATTAAGTTTATATTTTATTTCAACAATTTACATAATCATCTGTCTCCTCGCCAACACTCTTAATTTTAGTTTGATCCAACATTGTGTGTTGTATCCATTACTCATTTCTTCTTTATCCATATTTAAAATACATAGATACACTAACTGCAATTTGAATATATTCATACTTTTCACTATTTATTTCAAATACAATTTAAAATCAGAAAGCATAATGTTGATTATCAACTCTTCTATAAACAAAGCAGAGTATGGAAAGCCACTCAGGTGGAATCTCTTATTTACATAACACTCTTCCATACTGCCAGTATGGTTGGTGCTATCCACTGCTGATTCCAATGCAAGTTTTCAAGTCCATGGGTGCCATAATATTAAATCACAGAAACATTACTCCTTTTGCTTGAGTTTCCAAAGAGAGATATAACTAAAATTGTCAAATTCTTTCCCAAATATATATGTAGCACAAATAAGCAAGGATTGATTCATATTCCGCAAATCAGTGGTTTAACACAAGTATAAACCAAAATATCTATCCAAGGTGCTAGAAGGATTGTCCTCCTTCTGGAAATTCTAGGGAAAATTTTGTTTGCTTCCTTTTCTAGTTTTTAGAGGTTTGTTCATGGCCCCATATTACTCTAACCTCTGCTTCTGTCATCACATTGCCTTCTCTGACTCTCCTGCATCCCTCTTAAAAGGATCCTTGTAATCACATCTGGACTGTCCAGATAATCCAAGGTAAACACCTCATCTAAAAATACTGAACAATTATATCTGCAAAGATCTTATACATGTAAAGTAATATATTCACAGGTTCTAGGATTTAGGCATCTTTGGGGAATTAGTTTTTGCCTACCACATACAGCTCATCTATTTGGGCCTCTTTTCTCCCTCAATTATATTTTGCTCAGTAAATTTTGCCTGCCTTTCTAATAATTCAATATATGCAAGCCAATTTTTTAAATTCACTTTTCTAATTGTCCTTAACTACAGGTTTCATATAGTCTTAGTGTATTTTCTTAGTAAGATGTATTTTCAGAGCCTTGTATAGATAATTTTAATACTTCAAGATTCCGTTCATTAGGAACATTTTACCTGATTCAGATTTTAAATTTTATAATATTAATTTTATTTAATTTAGCTTGTGCTTCTAAATTTTAATTCTAGGGTGTTATGATCTTTGTATATTTTCATTCCTTCTCAATTATTATGACCTTAAAACTTATTATCAGACAAGATGGTGGGGAAGTAGGAGGAGGCGCCTTTTCAACCTGTACCCTAAAGTGAGCTGATTACCTACCAAAGAACTCCGATCACCCATGAAATCAGCCTGAGATCAGAATTTTACACGTCTGGATCACTACAGGGGCAGAAGACGTCAGTGGGCAGGTAAAGTGGAGTGGGAACCTCGGACTGATATCAGAAGATAAACAAAAGGGGGAGGGAGCCACCAGAGGTGACCGGTTGGAAAGTAATACCCCTAATACGAGAGTGCCCTATATCTGGGGACGAGCGTTAATTTGGAGACTGGTTGAAAGCACTCAGAAAGAGCAAAGAATTGCGGGGGGGGGGAATTGTGGGAATCGGGGCGGCTAGGGACAGGGGCTTAAGTCCCTGGACCCAGGACAGCCTCCCCTGGCGCTGAGCCAGAGAGTGTGCGGCAGAGAAACCAGGTCTTGGTCCCTGAGCAGCCAGCGCGCCCGAGAACACATGGGGTCCAGCTCCTGTGAGGGGCTGGGAGCCTCACCAGACAGACGGCAGAACACTGATCCATGCTACAGAGCCTGAGACACGCGCGCCCCTCACCCTCCCCTCAGAGAGGTGTGCGAAGGCCCAGCCCGGTGCTCTCGGACCTGCGCCCTGCTCTCAGAGCCTGAGATGGCGTGCTCAACCCACAACCTCCCCTGAGAGAGATGCACGCAAGCCTGGCGCTCTTAGACCCAGAAAGACCAGGCACTCCCAGCCCGGGCCAGTGGGAAAATCTCAGTGTGCGATCGCTGCCTGGAACCTCTCTGGCGGTCTGGAGCTGCCCAGACAGCCACCGCTGCCATGGTTTTGGGTACAAGCAGAAGATCCTGCGTCCCCAGGGACCTCAACTCGGAACCTGCTCTGCCAGTGGCCAAGGGGGAATTTATATGGACTCTCCAACACCCACAGGGGACCAGACTGAGGCTTCTCTCTGAGAGGGAGGTCAGGGTGCAGTTTGCTTTCCTCTAAACCTACAAAAACCATCAAAAGCAGTCAAGGCGAGAGGGAAAAAAAAAAGTGAACAAACATAAAAACCTCCAGAGAACAAAAACCTGAAAAAAACGGGTTTCCTCAGAGCCCACCCCCTTGAGGGGGGCAGAAGGACTTAACTCAGGGAACATCACTGACTGAAAACCCACGTGGCAGGCCCCTCCCCCAGAAAACCAACCAGGAAAGAAAAAGAAAAAAAAAAAAAAAAGACTACAAGAGAACAACCACCACTACTTCATAGGACAACTTTATTTTTAACTCGTTCCCACTATTCTGGTTCATTTTTTTTTTTTATATATAGATAATTTTTAACCTATTTACCATCACAGTGAGATGTCCAGTACATCAAATTCCATAATAACTTTCTAACCTGAACTTTTTGACACATACACCTGTATTTTTCTTTTGCATTTCTATTTTTTTAATTTTTTTCCTAAATTTTAGTCTAGTTTATTCCTTTTTTATTTTTATTTTCTAATATTCATATAGAGTT